TATATATATATATATATATACGTATAAAATATATATATGTATAAAAGAAGAGAGAAGATCACCACGCTTCAATTAAAATTCTGAAAAAGAAGTAAGAAAAAAAAGTCGCGCTAGCTCTTTGCGTCACACCATCGCATTATCACACTGCTAAACCCTAAAAGCAATTATTCCCGTAAGATATTACAAGGATAAAAAAGTATCTGACGGTATCTGAAGGATCGTTAAATGATCTCGTGCATCACAATGAGTGTTTTCTTTAGAATTCTTTGAAACCTCCAAAAGTCGTTACGTCAACAGAAGAAACTGTTATGCTCTTTACAGGAATTTATTACTTCTTTCTTCTTCTATCTATGATGGTTTATTCAGAAACTACGCAGTTTCATTAAAACTTCACGCAGTAGTGAACTTTCAAGATAATGTGATATTACTAAGATGCGGCATTTATCTTTGAAATCTTTTAATGCATTCTTGTAGCGTTAAACATTATTTACGTCGCTAGTATGATATAATACTAAATATTACACTTTTAAGAACATTCTTAAAATTCGAGACATTTATTCACTTTTATGAGTATGAATCATCAATTCAAAACATTTTTGTATATTTTCGGAAAAATATGAAACTCGAAATAATAAAAAGAAAACGTTCTTTAATAATTTAATTTTAATTCATTTATATTTATTGTAATAGACACTATTTTCAACAAATTCCAAACATGTTTATCTTTTTACTAACTTGAATTTTTTTACAACATTTTGCGAAGAGTTTACGATATATAAAGTAATCTTTAAAATTCATAACTAAGAAGGAGAATCATAATATATGTAGAATTTATCAAGGGAAAATGTGATTTAAAAAAGGTACTCCTTAAAAATTGCTTTATACGATATTGACACTGCTTTATATAATATTCTGTATGCTAAAAATATAATAAGAACAATTTGTATATCTTAACAAAGTAATATATTTTTCATGATAGAATCTTTTCAATCAATTCTATAATATGAACAAGATATATAGAGAACTTTCAAAATATTTTGTCCAAAATTTGTAATTTTCAGAAAATAACAAAGAAAGAAACTACGCACACAAGAAAACTATGCTTTACAGAAAAGAACAATATATCAATCAATAAGATGTGAAATATTAAACAAAATCGCTTAACAATTGCTAAAAACGTTAATCAAATGTATTTTATTTATTTCTAATTAAAAACATAATGCATTTCGAAATGTCTGTGTTTTTTAGCATATAAATTAACGATGAAAAATACTTTCTGATCATTTCAAAGTAGCTTATAATGTAAGTCATTCAACACTGAACACTACACCATCTCTAAGTAAAAAAAAATGAAATTTTGGACAAAACGCATTTTGAAAGTTTGTTCCTCATATATATTCAAAGTAATTAGATTTACTTTTTTAAAATTGTTCGAATTTACTCACTAAATATTTGCCAATATTTTATGAAACATATGTATAAATGCGGGCGGTATAGAACTCTAAGTTCGAAGCAAGATTTAATAGGCTCGCAGGTCACCTCGGGAAGAGGAGAAAGGGGAGGGTTGACGTTTCATTTTCTAGCATATTTCAGCTGATCATGAAGCGTGATTTTACAACACAGCGTAACTCTCTAGCGTGCTTTCGTGATCTCAATGTAACTTCGAGGATTACCTCGTCAAGTCGCGTTTACATTGCACGTTTACCTTCTAGCTACGTCATCCTATTTTCCTGCGGGGCTCATTACTTCTCTTAAGCCCGACTCTCTCGCGACGTCGACGGTTTTGCAAACATCGCGGTTCAGATTAGGGCGACAATTTCGGAGCTTAAAGCTTGGTAGTAGCCCATGTGAGCGCTATATTTTGCAGATGTAGGTATTTGGGTAACCGATTGCAATTAACGGCGGTTTATTGGACAACAACTGCGTTCGAGAATGCTATTCACAGATCGTAATAGATATATGTTAATAAGAAAGAAAACAAATTGTGGTCAGAACACAGTTCTTTGATTTTTTTATTTTATTATATAAATTTTATTGATTTCTGATAACTTCTTGCTGAATAATTGCTTGTATTTTATAATAATTAATGCTTATTTAACAAAATCATACTTTTGTGCACTCAATATGATTTTGTTAAATAAGCATTAATGTGAAATACTTTGTGCATGTGTAAATAATAAGAAAACATGTTTTTAAAACCTAATACACGTAATATATATCTTAAAGCGCAATAATTGAAATAAATATGATAAATGCAACAGTTTTCTTGATCATTGATTTTTCCTTAGTAATAACTTGGAACTAGTAGTTTTTGAATTATATTGCAATGACAAAAATTTTTTGAAAATACATATTTTTTTAAAGAAACCAGTGTCTGTAAAATTGTCAAAATATTTCTTTAAAATTATACTCACAGATTCTAGAATACTTCAATATGCAATGCATACATATGCAATTTACGTAATGCATGAATTTCATACTAACAATCCCATTCAAAGAATATCTGTCGAGTAACCACAAGAATATCCGGTACTAGGACGATTCGCGAGATTGTTCATCAGACACAATCGCGGATCTAATTGCATCGCTATTCGATTTATTGTTCGCGTGTATGTATTTTGCGTTGTCACGCAGTACCGCAGTGGAAATGCAGCTGGTCGCGAATGAATTTGCCCAACCCTTCAATCCTTTGCCTGTTTCCTCCAGGTCAACTCTCAATCACAAGAGCTCGATGTTTCAAATGAGATTTGGTTAACGTATAGCTCGTGAAGTAATGAATAAATGCCTCAACCGACCAGAAAATGTTTACGAGATAGCTTCAAATCGTCTCGAATCCATAATTACGCTCCGTCAAGTCCACTTTATGTCCTTTAATCTCTTGGATTATAGAGGATATTTTTGAACGAACCACATGATGCTGTCAGAATATTTTGTGTGGTCGTTCGAGTTATCGGAGTACATTTATAGAGTATATAAGATTAAATCAATCAATTTTTTGATAAATTCAACCAATAGTTATAACATAAATATTGTATTGCTTTTTGTAATTATTTATTTAACAATTATTTATTTAACAATAATATTAGTAATTTCTATTTTTTTAATAATTTCATGATAGTTATTAAAAACGCATTATTATCATATTGCTCGAATTTTACAATTATTAAAACACAAAAATATACACAATAAATATATAAAAGTGGTTTATAAAGTATTCTAATATAAAATATGTATCCTCAAAAATTTTCTAAGTTAACATTAAATATGATTGACAATCAATCACTAATCTTTGCATAGATACAGTTTAAGTTTAAATATAGTTGCGAATAATTTTGGAAAAGTTGGACAGCTTTGCGTTAGAAAGAACCCTTGATGTGTTTGCTCAATATTTTAACAAGCTCTTTAGCAACGCAATAACTTTCTTAGTACAAGTTAAAATCTAGTGAACTATTCCAGCTTGCTATGCATTATATAAAAAAAAACGATTTCTATATTGTAATTACATGAAATTTATCGAAAGATAATATTTTTATACACCAAATTAGTTTACAAATTTATTAATTTTAGCACGTGTCAATTATATCGTACACGTCTAATTTTATCTTTTCAATTTTTCACAGATGATTGCCTCGAGCCATTGGCGCGAGCCAAAACGTCGGAACTGTGCAATATCTTAAGTACTCGACGAAGTATGATGACTTCTGCGGCGAGTAGAAATCTCTCGGGAGAATCACGAAAAGGATCTGAAAAGAAGTCACAAATGGCCATAGCCGAGAATCGATATTGCAATGCGACAAGTAAAAGTTTCCGAGGTTGGAGGATCTGCCTTCATGATGAATCAGTTGATGAACGGTATCTGGTCGACCTTTTACAAGATCGATGCCTGTAGATTTTAAGGCGCATCACGGCATTTTAATCCCTAAGAGTGAGTCAAGAAAGAATTCGAGGAGAAAACAACGATGATAACGTTCGGTCATTTGTTGAAAAATTAGTATCAGCACTCACGCAGAAAACGACGAAAAAAAAACATTACATCAACGGCAAAAATGAGTTTCTTCAGTTCCCTACAGGAGTACGTGACGAACAGCGTAGCTAGTTTTAGTCTGAGTCCAAAGAGGTTCTCCTTCAGTCGTGAGGATTCGAAGGGCGATACCAGTGGGACCGGAAGAAGCAGTTCTACTGGAAGCGTTACCTCAACGACCAATACTAGCACGTCCGCTGCTCAGCAAGCTACGCCACATGGTTTTCCCAAGGTACGTGATTAGAATGTGTTGGAGAATGAGCGAAGAATCTTGTATATTTTTTTACCATATATTTCTAATTTTCTAAGATTTCAATCCCTTTTAATATAAAATAAAAATACAATATTATCACAATAAATGACGACTATTTATATTTCTAAATTTTTTAATCTCATTTCTCTTTATTGTTAATATAATGATTAAAACTAAAAGTATGTCATTATAGAGATTATATTATACCAGTTTTATTTATTACAGCAAAAACACATTCAGCAATCATTTATTGATGATGAATTAATAATTTATTGTCAATATCAATAATTTATTACATTGCATAAACATTTATTCTATCGTACTTAATTCTTAACAAACTTATCGATAGTTAAATGTGCCTTAATTAATTAAATAAATACACGGTTCAAAAATTGCATATTATACAATTTTAATGTATAATGTTGCGAATTTATACAATTTTAAATTGAAGAAATAACATTGTAAATTAATTAAATTACACACTAAGTATTATAGCAAAAAGGCATCATTTTGTGCAAATAAGAAGAATAATACATATTTTACAAATTACTTTAGTCATACTGGTTGATTTTATTAATAAACAAATATTTTCTGACGTTCATTCCAATAATTAAATGTCATTGTATAATGATAAGAATTTGGATAGAATAAAATAACTTGAATTTGTTCAATTAAATGTATTTTTATTAGTTCGTAAGCAAATAATTTCATTATCTGAAGTGGTATTCCTTTTTTTCAATCGAGCAATTGATAGCCACGCAAATTTCCTCGGGCAACACGATAAATTTTAATACGAATCCTAGTAAATCTAATTGCATAAAACCAAGATTAACTTCTTATGAGAAGTACGAGATTGACCAAAGGTTGACCGTATTTTCTCTTAATTAAAGAAACTAAGAAAGACGACATTAAAGAGGATATATTACGATCGAAGAACGCACAGAGAAGCAATTGTTGTTCATTTAACGGAAAAGTCAATTTATTGATTACCAATATGCACTAGAAGCTGTAATTAACCGCTTGTTACATCGGTATTAATTTATGCAGATATAAAAAGTTTAATTCTCTCACGACATTATTTTCCGATATCATCAATATTGGGAATATAAATTATTCTGGTACAACATTAAGTATGCGCCAGGAAAATTTTAACAATGCAAAATTAGATTTCCGACTCCAATTGGAATTTATTAATACACAATACATCAACTGGGACATGTTTCTCTAATAAGCATGACAGATATTATTATGCAAACGAACGGAGGCATATGCTTTCAACGATGAATTATTATATTGAACGCATAATAATATATAACTACAGTTTATTTGATATTTAGAGTATATATTGTCATCAGTCATTCGTTTAAATGAACGAGCAAATGTGAATTTATCAAATCTTATATAAACGTATAAAAAAATGAGTTAATATAGAAAAACATTTTTAACAAAACAATATCTTATATCAACATTAATGCGTTAATCTAAACTAGAATTGATAAAAATTTTTTATAAAAAATATATTGAAATAAGTATTATCAAATGTAATTATTATATAATTTTTTTCTTTTGTATAAACAATAATATTTTTTATTTAGATTACTTTTCAAATACATATTATATAATTTACATGTAGTATCTATAATATTACTACTAAATTAAATTGAATTAAATTAATTGAATATTAAATTAAATTAAACCACATATATTTAGATTATTATTATCATTATTATTATTTGCCAAAAACAACGATTATGTAGCAAATTATATACGATATTAAATAATTGCTAAATGCATTTAGATACAGTTACTGTTTTCTGTTACTATTTTCTTTAGCCATTTCAATTAAATTTCGCGTAGCATTTCTGAAATTTTATTTTTCTTTTAGGTTGTGCCACCTCCAGGAACTGTCACATCGTCGCATTCTCTTTCACGTAGACGCACTCTCGAATGCACTCCAGCTTCAGGATTGACGGTACATCCTGCGACAGGAAGTGGTGCCACATCACCGAGGCGAGTTGGCTCCTTTCGACGGAGCGGTGGATCCAGCGATCGACCGCCTCTAATGTTCTGCCGTCGTAGACTATCCTGGCCCGAGGTCGATATACAAGCTACTTCCGGGTAAGTATTCTGAATAACGAGCATGTATCTTACAGCGCCAAGAAATTGTTACACTTCCGATACAAATACATGACTGCATATAGATTGCTACGAATTTAAATGTAAGCAAAATAACAATGATATTCATAATAATATAAATTTAATATAGGTGTTAAAAGTGAAAATATATAACTTCTACAAATAAATAAAATAATAATGAACCAGTATCATAGAATCTTATTATGACAAGCAGAACGTGGTTAATAAAATTCTATTATAAATTAATATTACAAACATTACATTAAATGATATACTCGATACACATTATTTCGAAACAGATTATATTAATTTAACAATAAGAAATGATGTGATCATAAAAAAATATATTTAATATATTATGAAATTAAAGTTAATAATTGATATTGCTTTTATATAAAATTATATCGTTATTTTTCACATCATTAAGAAGACGAACGTAATTATTGAATTAGCAAAATTTATGTAATGAGATATCAAAACGATATTTCAGAGGAAGCTTATTTTTCGGATTTAACGCGCAATAGCGTCCTTTATACACGCTCGAACAAATAATTTTGTTTGATTGCTCATCGAATCCTTACGAATATTCTGAAATTCTCTTCGCATAATTTCAAATGTCTCAATCGGATTTCCAGTAAGACACTGCCTCTGTTGCGTGAGCTAGCTATTCAACGCTTTAATCCAGTTACACTGGCGTTGTGCACTAAGCTTTCCAGTTAACTACATTCTCATCCTCTGCTTCTATCGAAGAACGTTTCAGAGCAGATCGCACTTTCCGCGACACACACACACACACACACACACACACACACACACACACACACACACACACACACACACATCACATTTTCTCTCTCTCTTTTAAAAAGTTTCCATCATTTTTTTGTAAATTATGACGATGAATTGCAGTCCAGAACGCAGGAGAGACGGACAAATAATGGTGGCATTTTCACCGTGGAATTTTGCGTGCATATTGCGGCGAATGCACTTTTAATAAGGCCACTGCGATGCATTGCGACCTTTCTCTTAAGCTGCTTCATTGCATATGCATAAGCGCAGCCGGCCATTTAGCACGAACTGTTAATCTCTTTTTAAAGCCTACCTTCCCTTCTTTTCTCTAATACACCTCAGCGAATAGTTCTGTCATAACCTGGATTTTCTTTCACGCATATTTTGATATATGATAAATCTAAAATATTCCATGAAATTGTAATCAACGCAACAATTAAGTTTTTATGACAGCAACGCGATATTTATAAGCCGATGAGATAGGCTGATCGTAAATAATAATTGTACTCTTGCATATATTAAATATTTTTGCAACGTATCTAATAAACGTATGAAAAATGACAAAATGAATATAATATCAAATTTGATGAAACTTTCTTTTATCTGTTCCAAAAGCAAAGGCAATTTTATCTTTTTTTTTATAAAAATATTATAACATACTGTATATGTATACCTCTCCATATAATGTATTTATTAAATACTAAAAAATTTTATATTATTTAATATAAATATATTGAATTAAATATCAAATATTTAATAAAACTTTTAGAACTTAAAGATAAACAAGTTTTACCAAAAGTTTTCTTATTTTAAAATTTAAGAAGTTTAACAGATTTATTGTATTTTTCACTTTATAACAATATTTTATTAATACAATTGGATTTATATAAAATGTAACACAATATACCTTAAGTAATTTATTTATTGTTTATTATGTTTAAAGTAAACAAACTATATCAGTAAAAACTTCGTACTGTCTACTAATATGAAAAAAATATTGGAAATCCGAAATATTTATATTTTATATTAAAAAATGAATTTTTTTAAATCCTTATATTTTTGCTGTATATCCCATAGAGGTGGGATGTATGGCTACTCATAAGGAGAGAAGGAATATGTATGGCTCATAAAAAATTTACAAATGATGCATATAAATAAGTCATAAAATGACACAATAACTTATACAATAAAATGCGTTTATAAGTTTTATTAAAAAATAAGAATGATAAATATGTATTTGAAGTAATAAATAATAATTATAATTTTTCCAAATTTATTACAAGTGTTATGACATGAGGTACATATTTATCATGTAATGCGTTTAGCACTGAATCTGCTCACTTTGTATACTTTGAGCATAAATCCTGCTCGCTAAAAATGCCATATATCCAAACAGGTGGGACATATACAAGACAACAAACTAAACAAAGAATACAAGAGCAAAGTACTTGTATTTTGTTACACAACATGCTTTACTATTCCTCTATACTCATGTATCACGAAATAACCACTAAGTCTTTTGCACGTCCTACAGTAATCATTTTATGTAGATTATAATTTATGATGGCTCTACTCAACACAGTGACAAATCGATTCAACTCACAATAATTTCATTAATATTAACAGTAAGAAATTGAAATCATAACACAATACTAATATAACATAAAGATAACAAAGTAATTGTGGGAAAATTACCCCCACTTCTTCTATTTTTTCTAACTTCTGCATAAATCCCAGCGCGGCGTATTTGCCGGAGTTACCCTACGCATCGATGATTACATGAATAAAATATTCTCTTATCTCGGATTTACGATTTCTCCAAAGTCTATTATTAATACAGTCTCGGAGAAGAATAAGTACAAGAATAATAAACATCTTAACTCATTGTTCTTTGAACTTTATTTTATACATGACAAACTCTCCCAACGTTCCTAATGTAACAAAGGAGCAGTAAAGTTGATGCAAAATACAGTTTCTTTTGTGCAAGTTTCCATTATGTGCATTTATGTACGTTTTCTCAAGACGCGTGCGCCAACATGTTGCACGAATATTAGGGTTGATTTATGTGTACCAGAAGGAAAACCCATTGATATTGAACAAGAAAGAACATTGGTCTACCATATTTATTAAAAGAATTTATAATCAATTTTATTTACCAGAAATACTTGTCAAAAAGAATCAAAAGATTCCTGAAATTTTCCAGAAGTTATTTTGTCATAAAAATGATAATATTAACAATCATTATCATTATTAAGTTTAATATTATTGTAAGTTTAATTAATATTTGATATTTTGATTTACAATAAATATTACATTATTTGATATAAAGTAAACATATTATATATATGTGCTATGTGTATGAATTAGATCAATCTTTAACAACAAGTATATAATTTTTAGCAGTTTGATTAATATTTAAAAATGGCTGTTGTAAATATAATGAATGTGGCATATTTCTAATCTGATTTATGTTTTTAATTATTTACATATTTATTTATTTTTGAGTTATTTTTTAGTTATTTTGAATGTAATTTTTATTTTTTAAATAAGATTAAACTAGTCGGCTTTCATTTAACACAATCATTCTTGACGCATTGTTAGGATTATAGATATGATATGTAAATAAGATTTTTGCATTATTGTTCGATATTGTAGTAATAGCAATAAAATCTATCTGTGTAATTAAAACTTATATGCTCATAAAATACTGTGATAGGTCAAGACCTTTGTGAAACATTTCGGGACATTTTTCCGATTTCATTTAGTTTTCAAATAGTTCTTTTTTTATCAAAGCTTTGTATGCTATCGTGATCCGATTCTCATTGCCCTAAATTTAATACGAATATTTCTCATCTTTTTTGCTATATGTCACGTATATTAATTATTCAGTCTCTTTACACAGTGAATAATGAAAATTTATAGACCTAAGACTCATCAAGAGTTTAGGAGGAGGAAAATTCGATTCACTCGCTTCTATAAATATTTTCGAACGAGCACATTTCACATGGAAATAATGTTTTCAACATATATGCCGAAAAAAAATTTTCAGCAATTTTCAAAGCGGCCGATGAAAACAACCTTCCGTTTGTTCCAAATCCGAGAACCATCCTTTCTATCAAAGAGAAGAGACATATCGAGGTCTGACCATTCGATGACCCCAATTCGCTCATAGAATCGCTCGTAGAAGCCGCCTGTAATCAAAGGCTGCTATCCTTCTAACATGACATCCTTTGTATAAGCGTCCTCGAGACCTGCGATTCCACGAAACTGACTTTAGACCAACAAAAGCTACTCGCCGTTCATCGAATTTCAGAGCCGCTCACCCTGCATGATAATGAGATATTCTCATATCGATATGCCGTTTCCAGATCATACTGCTGTAAAAATGAAAATTGATGATATTATACACTCGAGCGATAATGAAAATTAAGAATATAAAAATTAAGAGTATTTTATAACTTTAATATAATTTATATTTACTTTCTAAGTAAAAAAATAAACATTCGAGTTATGACTTTTGAATAATAAAATCGCGAAAATTCTTATTTGAATATTCATAGAACAGTACATTTGTTAATGTAATCTTTCGATGCAACAAATCATCATTCTTTCTTTGCATCGACAACGATGAATTTCCACAATACATGAAACCTCATGTCTTAACGAAACTAGAAGCTGTCACGAAATGATAGATGTCATGTTCTTCCGTAAAACAAGAGAATACCTTGTTTATGAAAGATATTACATGTACAAGCAAATCTTAACCGCATGCTTGGCAAAGAGATAGAACGAAGATCTCAGAGTGACCTATTTCCGAGAAAAAATGAAGAAAAATCCGTTCACATTCGTGACTTCCTTTTTATGTCACAATTTTTAACATTGTTATTTTCCGGCAATTACAGAACAACGAGAAATGTTGAAAGATAATTGCTCTAATTTTCTTAATCATATTTTTTATATAGAAGTGTAAGAAAAATATTTGACTGATTTAAAAATTGTGTTTTTATACTTAATTAAAGATAAATAAAATTTTTAGTTTAAATATTAACATGCAAAAATCACTGTATACTAAACAATAATTCTCATGTATATAAATTAAAAAGCACGCTATGTTGGTTTAATCACTCTTTGGATTTAGTCTAACGGAGAATCACCCGTCGCCTTAGATAATACAGCAACATCTCCCCCAGCGA